TGCACCCCACACCCCCACACTGAGCCTGCCAGAGTGGGCGCCTGCCACAGCCCAGCCACAGGGCGTGTGTGGAGAGGCCGCAGCTTATGGCCCTTGGCTTCCCTTTCATGGTGGCAGTGCCTCGGACTAGGGCTCGCTCGCCTGACCTCCCGTGACCTCTGTGTTGCAGGTGTGTGCTGGGGAACACCACTATCTTGGCCGAGTTCGCCAGTGAAGAGGAAGTGAATCGGTTCCTGGCCCAGGGCCAGGCCCTGCCGCCCACCTCCAGCTGGCAGCCGAGCGGCGGGAGTGGCCAGTCAAGGCTGGGCGCCTCGGGCAGTACCCACAGCCTGGTGCGCGGCGACACTGCCCACTGGAACACCCCGTGCCTGGGTGGCAAAGGGAGCAGTGACCTGCTCTGGGGTGGGGTGCCCCAGTATTCTAGCAGCCTGTGGGGGCCGCCTAGCACTGACGACGGCAGGGTGATCGGCAGCCCCACCCCGCTGAACACGCTGCTGCCTGGGGACCTGCTCAGCGGGGAGTCCATCTAGGGCGCCAGGAGGAGAGCTGGCCTGGCGGCCCACCAGCCGGGAGGAGCGCAGCCCTGCCAGCCCGGCACCATGGCCTGGGGTGGCCACGCGCCCCTTTCGAGTACCTCTGTCCAGTTGTGAAGACGCCATGGCCGCGGCCTGAGAACTGTGGGAACAGGGGGCCGCCGCCCGCAGGACGCTCCTCATAGCTTTTGATTTTGTGTCGTCTCTTCACGTTCGTACAGTGTGTTGTCGTTTTGAGTTTTAAGTATAAAAGCTGCTTAGAATAGTTCTATCATGAAGGGCACTTTTCAGATTGTGGGCTGGAAAGGGTTATTTTATCATGGGGGCGGGCTGGAGGGAGGGAGGGAGGGAGAGGGACGCGAAGCCTATTTAAAGTGAGCCTGTGATGATTATGCACATTACCAGAGGTGGAGGGGCGGGGCGGGGCGGGGCGACAGCTGTGGCTCGGGCGGAGCTGAGCGGGCGCGGGCAGGCACCGCCTGCCATCCCCTCCCTGTCCCTGGATCCGCCTATGCACATTGCCCTTGTTCCATGACCCTTGTTCCATTACTTTTTCATGTCATTTTTTTATCCCAAAAAAATATTTTTTAAAAGTTAAAAAAAAAAAAGACATATCAAACATGCAAATACTTGAATCCAGCAGGCCAATAATGAAATGTGAACACTTTCTAAGTCTAATTCTACACTTCCAGGTTGACAACAGTACACAGAAACAGGCTCTAGGAAAAGTTTCTAAGCTCATAGCCTATGTGTGCGTGCGTGCGCATGTGTATGTGTGTGTGTGCGTGAAACTGCATGTCTGTGCGTGCTTCTGCACGGTATGCGGTTCCTGTGTGCGTGTTGACAGTGTGTGAGGGATTCATCTGGGTTCTCCTCCTACTCAGTATATGCTTTTTTTGGCGCATTGGTCAAATGTCTGTTGTTGTTGTTGTTGTTGTTATTAGCATCTAACTTTGCACTGAGGTGTCCTTGCCCGTCCTTTAGCTAATCCTAAACATGTAGAGAACTCACGGGACAGGGCGGCGACAATTCACGTGTAAATGTTTACTCAAGGACTCTGTTATGCGTCTAAAGTTACAGTGTATATCTCTGGAAAAATAATATGTATATCTACCTTTAGCAGCTTTTTATCGTGGACTAATGCAAGAAAATTATTACCAGAGTATTGCACCATTTCCATGTGGAATATAAAGTTAGAGAAGAACTGTTGCTGAAGTGTGGCCATAGATCCTCGCAGCGCGCGGGCTCCGGCCGCACGGGGTGCGGGCGAGCACTTGGACGCGGTGATGACTGCTCTCGGCGGAGCCGGGGTTGGCTCCACCTGTTTACAGACCTTTTTTCTCCTTCAGACTTTAACATTTAAAAAATAAAATAAAAAGGAATTAAAAAAAAAGACTTCCGTCGTAAAGAACCCTATTTTCAGAATGCAGATACGTTACTTCCGGGCTCTGGGACCGGGCAGTGCTGTCCCGGCCGTCATCTGGACTCTGCCGACGCCCTCACCCTCGGGTGACAAGGCAGGAGCCGGGCGCTCTCAGGAAAGCCAGGGCCCCGAGGCAGCGCCACGCCATTTCATGTATTTTTAAACCCAACTCCTAGCACTGAAGATGTTATTTTAAAAAAGGAAAAAAAAGAGAAAAAGAAAAAAAGAGGAAAAAAAACCACAAAGAAGAAAAATACCTAATCTCTAATGTGTAGCAGTTACATATTTACCAAATAATGGACTCAAAAGAAATAGATGTTTGAAGAGTGCTTTATATATTAAAAATTGCTTTATGTTTTAAAATGATCGATGTTCTGATTGTTTTACAAGGAAGAAAGACAATGGAAGGACATGCCCTCGAGTATGTTTAAAAATATACGAACATTGTGCTCCCTGCCCACCCTGGCCAGGGTTCTTGTGCATTACACTCTTTTTTAATTAGCTTTTTAATGGTTTTATCAAAACAAAAACAAAAAAAAAAAAAGCAAAAAAAGTCCTGCAAGATTGCAGATCAACAAAAGCTGGTTTTATAGAGGATCATGAACTATGCACAAACTGGGTTCGACTTTTTCTCTCAAGTCTATAGTGTATCTAGCTGAACAGGCCCTCAGTGATCCCATCTCATTGCCAATACGTGCATTCTGTTTTTGTGATGTACGCAGACCTGTGTGTGTGTGTGTGTGCACCAGATGGGCGTGTGCGCATGTGTGCACCACACAGCCACCACGCCGCCATTCAGCACTGAGTTGTAGGTAACTCGTGGTTTGAAATTTGGGGCTAGACGTAAAGGATCTGCTTGTTTGGGGTTTGGTTTGTTTTTCCTCCTCCTCCCCCTCCCACCCCACTTTTATTTTGAATTTGTCTGTGGCTCTGAGATAAACAAGTTTGTGGCTCTTAATGTTTCTTCTCATAGAGTGTGATTGTTGAACACGCACCGAGAGTTGCTTTCAAAACTACAACGCTCTGTTGAAATCGTAAATAAATTGCAGTTTTTCTTGGCTATTCAGATGAATGTGTTTTTTGTTTTTCAAAGACAGACTGATCCTTTTTAGGGGAGTTGTCCTACTGGAACACACCTCCCTTTTGTGATGTCCTCGCAGCTTGTGTGGATGCAGTCTGCACAGAATCCTGGCTGACTTGTACCATGTGCTTCTCTGTTACTATGTTAAAACTTGTCATGGTCACTGAGAGGCACAGGAGCGCCCCCCCGCTCGGCCCACAGCCCTCATGAGAACCAGCGTGGCCGGGGCAGCAGGGCAGGGGCACGGGGTGTACTGAGGACCACCACTTCCCACCAAGGCCCTGCTGTGGGTGTTAGTCACAAGGCTAGGCCCCAGTGGCTCAAGCCTGTAATCCTGATGACTCGGGCCAAGATGTGAGCATCGCTGTTCAAAGACAGGGCAGGCAGGAGAGCCATGAGGCCCGGTGCCTGGAAGGAAGGAAACAGGCCCAGAGCGCCTTTTTGTGGATGGTGGAAGCAGAGATGGGCCTGAACGGCTTGAGGAGGAAGCGGAAGTGGCTGGCAAGCCCTGGCTCAGGATGAAAACGATGAGCTGGGTGACACCATGAGCTGCGAGTGCCAGTGGAATGCAGACCACGTCAGGCCCTGGCATGGACCATGAAAGCCATGGGCACTAGTGCTTCTCCGAGGACTTGGTGAGGGAAGTGAGCCCAGCCTCCGATAGCTGGCACGAAGTGAAAGCCAGGACCACCTGGAAACTTCTATAGCCCCTGGGCCAGGAGCATCTGCCCCAGCTTATGAAGAAGGCGGCACAGGGTCCACGTGTGCAGCCAAAGTCAAGAGTGGGCACAGAGGGATGCTTCATCCAGGGACAGGCCACAGTCCACATACAAGGCCACCAGCTGATCAAGCCCGCCCAGCCCCCCGGGATGAGCCCGCAGAGATGCCGAGAACAGAACTTAAAAGACAACACAAGAAGTTTGGAAGGCACAGCGGCCGCAGGCCGGAGCCCCAGGCAGGGGTGGTGCTGGCCAGGTGGGGGCAGAAACCTCACCCTCACAGCCCAGGGCTGATTGGATGGCACCACCCACACAATCCAGTGTCAGCTTTGTAAAGCTGACTGCAAATGATTGCAAATAACTGCTCATGCGCTCTCTCTCTCTCTCTCTCTCTCTCTCTCTCTCTCTCTCTCGGTAGAACCACTTGCCAATCAAAAGTGATGCTAGGCGGGTATCGGTGGCTCACACCCATACCAGCATCAGAGGCCAAATCTGAGGGTCATGGTTCAAAGCCAGCCTGGAAGCCTCATTTCCAATTAACCAGTAGAAAGCTGGATGTGGAGCTATTTCAAATGGTAGCGCACTAGCCTTAAGCAAAGCTCATGAACAGCACCCAGCCCTGAGTTCAAGCCCTAGGACAGGCAAAAAAAAAGGGGGGGGGGGGCAATGCTAAAGACAGTGTTGGTGACTCATACCTGTAATCTTCACTATTCAAGGCACTAAGGCTTGAAAAGGCACAGTTCAAAGCCAACCTAGGGAGGAAAGTCTACAAGACTTCTCCAATTAATAAAATGCTGGGCTAGAGATATGGCTCAAGCGGTTAAACACCGGCTCGTGTCAGCCAGTGCCACTGGACGTGGACAACACAGCATCCCGTGAGCAGGCAGCGCCAGGTAAGCACAGGTGGGGGGAGGGAAGCAGTGGCTGTGGTTCCACTTCAGGGAGACTGAGGCACCACTGCCGCCTGCCGGCGCCACTTACCAACTCAGTGGCTTGTGGCTGCAGACATGGACTTGGGCCTGAGGACTGTGAACACAGGCTGTCCCCTCCTCCCTGTGCCCCTCCCACATCCTCCCCGCACAGACCACCGAAGCCTGAGTGGGACAGTGCAGCAGCCACCTCGGGCTAGGCCCAGGTGCTGAGTCCATTCTCCCGAAAGACACACTGTTTGCAAACTGGTTTAATCAGGAATAAATAGAGCCCACTCTCCCCCCACACACACCCCAACCCCCCCCCCCCCCCACTGCCCCCAGACTTCAGCTAGGCCGCCATTCACAGAAGGCAGGCTTCTCCCGCCTGGTGCCGCACCGGCCTGGGGTCAAGTCCACGTTTCTGCTTGCAGGGCTGTGACATGAGGGGCTGAGCGGGGGTGCCAGGCATGCCGGCAGTGCCCTTCGCCATCCCGGCAAGCATCTCCCTCATCTGCCAGGGCGGCGGGGGACACGCCAGCCCCCTGGTTCCTGCTGGCCCTGCAGGAAAGGGAAGTCAGGCCAGCGCACGGGCAACCCCACAGCCCCCCCTGCCGTGGTCAGCAGAGCTGTGTGCTGGCAAAGAGCGGGGCGCAAGGACAGCCTCACAGACGCCAGCCCTCACCTACACAGAGAAACTGAGGCTCTGGCCTTGGAGAGCCTCCTGAAGGGCGCACATGAGGCCTGCCCGGGGGTCCAGGCTGCCTCAGGGCCCAAGTCCAGTGAAAGGCCTGAATCACTGGTCCTGAGCGCGAGGCGGGGCTTTGGGCAGAACTGCGGACGCAGAGGGGCAGCCCCAGCCGGCTGCCCAGCAGAACCTGGCCCTGTGCACCGCTGTGTGTGCAGCGTCTGCCAGGATGACAGCCAGGCCGCGCTGCCAGCCCTGCCCCGTGTCCCTGGAGGCCCAGCTCAGTACAGGGAAGGTGCTGGAGGGCCCCAGCACCTGCATCTCGGCTGGGCCACAGGGCCTTGCGGCAGAGGCTACCCCGGGGCCCAGACACTGGGGGTCCCCTCAGGTGCCCAGGAGGGCTGGCACCACCAGATCTGTGGTGGAGGCTGGGGGTCAGCGGCTTGCCTTTCTTTCCACTTTCTCCTCCCTAAGCGGTCCTTGCCCCCCCCCCACCTCACCTGCTCCTCTCCCTCTTCTCATACACAGAGTGAAGCTTGTTGATCAAGAAGATTTTGTCCTCCCCCTCCTAGGAAACACAACACAGGGGTGCGTGAACTGAGGGGGGCCGTCACACGGTCCCCCAGAGCTGGCCTGTCCCAGACTGCATGAGGGGGGCTTAAACAGAGAGGTGACTTCACAAGCAGGAAAAAAAAAAAGGCCAAAAGCCAAGACATGGGCATGCTTGTGATCTCAGCTTCCTGGTGCCCAAGGTAAAAAGGAAACCGTGTTTGGCCTAATAGTAAGGAACCCAGAGCCAGCAGACTGGCGTTCAAGCTGGTCCTGTCACTAGTAACTCTGCCCTAGGCAGACGACCTGGCTTCTGACCTCAGCGCCACCATCTGCACAAGGGACTGGACGGCACAGGTCGTGGAGCTTGTGTGAGGGTCTTGGGCTGAGGAGCTTAACGCGATGCAAAACCTCACCCTTCAGCTCTGGAGGTCAGAGGGCTGAGAGCAAGGGGGCAGTGCCCAGCAAACCACCCCCTCCCCCATCTGTCCTGCTGCCAAGGCTCAGCATTCAGCTCCTCCTCCTCCTCCCCCTCCCCCCACCACTTGCAAGCCCCACCCGCCTGTGCGGTCCCCAGCAGAGCCACACAGCCCAGGCTCCAGCTCCCGACATGGCTTCCGGGGCCCGGCACTCTTTGGACCGTGTAAAACATATGCCCGCCAAGTATTTGGCACAGAACCAAGGGAACACAAACACCGACCAATACCAGGGGCCGCACACCGGCGGCCTCAGGCTCAGGAGCAGGCAGGCAACCTGACTGTGCCCCCCCCCAATGCTGCCCCCTCCTGTCACAGGCAGGTGAGGCCACTGCACCCCAGGGCACCATCTCAGGCCCAGACAAACCAAGGGCAGAGCTGGGGACCTACCAGGCCCCTCGGTGCCCCCTGCCAGACCTCAAGCCCTGAAGCCCACCCTGGGCAGGAGCCACTGCACCCAAAGCCTGCTTCTGACAGCACAGCCCCCCCCCCCCCCCCCCCCCGCCGCTCCCGGAACCAAGATGCCACGGTGGCCCTCAGAAGAGGCAGGGGAGGGCCTGCCCTGGACACGGGGCACAGCAGCAGAGCTTCTTGCTCAGCCCAGCGGCTCCAGTCCTAGCTCCCAGAGCCCGGAGTCTGCAGCAGGCCCGCACTGCTGTCCCCGGGGAAGATCTGTACGCCATCATGCAGGGCATGAGTGGCCCAGCACGCACCGGGATGGGCACCCAGCTCCTGCAGGAGGAAGGGCCCCTGGCCAGGGGCAGGCTGAGGGCGGCCTGTCCCGGTGAGGCCCCAGGCCTGCTGGCCCCCAGGCTCCCATTCCTTGTGCCAGCTGGAAGCTGTGCCGGCAGGACACAGTGAGGCCAGGCACCGGCCAGGCACCGGCGCCCCGCAGCCAGCTTGATGGACACCGCCTCAGGCATCCTCAGCGCACAGAAGCTTCCAGGCCCATTCCTGACACTCCATCCAAACCAGCCATCACTGTGCCCACGCCAGTCATCCCAGCTACTCAGGAGGCTGAGATCTGAGGATCACGGCTCAAAGGCAGCCTGGGCAGGAAAGACCCTGACACTCTATCTCCAATAAGCCATCAGAAAACTGGAAGTGGCTGAAGGGAGAGCACGGTAACCTTGAGTAAAAGAACTAGGACACGTCCAGGGCCAGTTCAAGCCCCGTGACCAACAAAAAATAAAAATTAAAATAAAGGGCTGGGACGGTGGCTCAGTTGGTAGAACACCTGCCTAACAAGCACAAGGCTGAGTTCAAACTCCAGTACTTAAAAAAACCCTGGCTCCTCTTCAACCTCGCACCACGCTGCACGCTGTCCAGCCAGGCTGATTCCTCAGGATCCTCATAAGTCGTGAAGCCCACAATGGAGCTGAACCCTAAGACTGTGTTTCTAGCTGGCCAGCCCTGGGGGGGGGGGCTGTCTAAGCAGCCTGAAGCCAGGCCAGCCCCGACGGCACTGATGAGGGGTGTGGCACCCACAAGCAGGTGACCAGATCCCAAGGGGGGCGGTGTGTGGGGAGGACAGGGAGATGGGGGTGGGACTCACATTTCGGATCTGCTCCTTGAGCAGGCAGATGACCTCCCGCTGGCCCTTCACCACCTGGATGTTGAGGTAGATGACCGCCCTGCGGGAGACAGGTGGTCAGGCTGGAAGGGCCCAGGCCTAGTACCAGGCTGTCCTCCGGGACCCCCCAGGAGCTGCACCCACAGCAGCAAGGCTGACACCAGGAAGACGAAGAGGGTGTTCTCCACCAGGTGGTAGTGCAGCCAGGGCAGCCAGGAGGCGCCGGGGCCCGCCCGCTCCAGGCGACGCACCCACACCGTGCCCGCCTCGTACATGCTGTCCAGGTTCCGGAAGGGGCCGCAGGTGGCGGAGGGCTTCACCCTAGGGGAGGAAGGGAGCGGGAACCCTAGCGACCCCCCCCCACAGCGTCTCCCCTCCGCATCACCCCTCCTCCAAGTGCCCCAGCACCACTGGAGCCCGGGCGTGGTGAACACGGCCACTCACTGCCAGATGACGTAGCAGAGGAAGACGGTGGCGCCCAGGAAGGCGGGGAAGCAGAGCAGCGTGAGGAAGACGGTGCTCATGTGCGAGGCCAGCCAGGCCCGGCGCGGCGCCTGGCAGTTGGCCATCAGGCTTGCCTGCGGACAAAGGCTGCGCTCTGTGCTTGGCCACGGCCCCCCCACCTCGGAGCCTCGAGAGGGCGGGAAGGGACAGGCATCGGACTGGAGCCCTGGAAAGGACCTGCAACCCCACCCCCTTCCCCCACAGGGCAGTGGGAGCATGCGCAGGAGGCTCTCCAAGAATCTGACTCCAAGATTGGAGTTGCTGTGCCAACCGTTTTATCCCCAAAAGGGAGACTGAGGCATGCGTGCGCCCCACGTAAAAGGCCACCCCCAGTGACGAGGTCTGTACCACGTTGCCCACAGACGCCCCACATGCCTCCTCCACCAGCCGCAGAACACATCCCCACCATGCAGCCGGGAACCAAAGGCCCTGGTTCTCAGCCCAAGCCAACACAGCTGAGGACAGACAGATGTCCACTGTCCCTTTCCAGCACCAAGTGACACCTGGGAACGGCTACATGGATGGGTCCCAAGCCTAGAGAAGAAGGGGCTGCGGGAGCCAACCAAAGGCTGCCCGGCCCCAGCCCAGCACGGCCTAGCCCAGCCCAGCCTTCCCTTCCCGCCCCTTCCCTTCCCTTCCCGCCCCGCCCGGCGCCGGCTGGGCAGTCACCTTCTTGATATAGAAGAGCAGCAGTAGTCTGAGGATCTGCACGGCTGGCAGGAGCGGGGAGAAGAGGACGCCCAGCCTGGGGACACAGCTGGTCAGTGCCTCCTCCCCACTGCCCCAGCCCTCCCTCCAGTTGGGACCCAGGAAGGGCCGGGTGCTGGGCCCCCAGGAGGAGGGAGAGAAGTAGGCGGGGGATCCTCACCAGACCAGAGTTTGCCCGTAAATCAGATCCAGAACGTTCTTCGCAATGTCAAACTCGGGCTTCCGCCTCCTCTTGAGCTGCTTCTCTGAGAAGAGCCTGGGCCAAGGGGGAGTTGAGGTGGGCAGAGAGCCCAACCACACCCCTGCAGGTGATGCCAGCCCTCCCAGAGCCCTGCAGGAGAGCCGAGGGCCAGCTAGGCCTCCCGGAGCCACATGGCACTGGCCTCCCACTTTATCTAGATGAGCACGGGCTCTACCCTAAACCCAAAGAGGCTGCATCAAATGCTGGATCTCAGGAGGCCGAGATCTGGAGGACCAGAGTGCAAAGAGAGCCCACCCAGCGAGGGATGCGAGACTCCGCCTCCAAAATAACCAGCTAAAAAGTCAGACTGGAGGTCTGATTTGAGTGGTAGAGCACCAGCCATGAGCGAGACAGATGAGCAAGGGTTAGAAGGTGGCTTAGTGGTAGAGTGCTTGCCTAGCATGCATGAAGCCCTGGGTTCCATTCCTCAGCACCACATACACAGAACAAGCCGGAAGTGGCGCTGTGGCTCAAGTGGTAGAGTGCTAGCCTTGAGCAAAAGCAGCTCAGGGACAGTGGCCAGGCCCTGAGTTCAAGCCCCAGGACTGGCAAAATAACAAAACAAACAAACAAAAAAAAAACAGATGAGCAAGAGAACAGCCGCTTTGGGTTCAAGCCTCAGTACTTTTTAAAATTTTAAAAATCCTACTTTTTCCCGGACACTTGCAAGTTCAAAGCCAGCCTGGGCTACATAACAAGTCCCAGGTCACCTCCATCAGCCCCATAATACCGCCCTGACCCCCCATGCAGCTGAGGTGGTGGAGAACTCCAGCCCGGGTGTAAACCAAGCCTGGCCTCCATCTACCCTCGCACTCCTGGGCCTTCACGTTCAAGGCCAGCCCGGCGTCAGAGCACCAAGGGCTGGGGGGTTAGCTCGGTGGCAGTGAACTTGCCCGGTACGTCTGAGGCCGTAGGTTCCATCCCCAGCATCACGAGAAGTGTTTTGTTTTTACATTTACCCGTTATGCAACTCATCTGTGCTCCAGGAAAACACACACACACACACACACACACACACACACACACACACACACACACACACACACACACACACACACACACACACACACACACACACACACACACACACACACACACACACACACAGCGCCGGCCCCACCCGCTCATTCTGGTTTCCCACAGATAAGACCTTGACTAAACACACGCCACTGGAACTTCATTTTCTTTCCGATCCAAAATTAGGGCACTTCCTGCCTCCTACGGCCTCCATCTAGCGGCCCTTCTCAGGTGCTGATGGGGGAGGCCCGGCGCAGCCAGGGGCCCAGAGGGCTGGAGAGGACACAAGGTGGGAGGAGCCCTCACCTCCACACCAGCTCCCCGAACAGCGTGTCGAGCAGCGTGAAGAAGAAATCCATCACTGTGAAGCGGTACAGCTCCTGGCCCACAAAGTCCTCCCAGCAGCGGCCCTGCAGCGCGGCCACCCTGCGGCCCAGCCAGTGGTAGCACAGCACAGCCAGGACGGCCAGCTTGAGGATGAGGTTCCTGCGCGGGGCCAGCGGGGCCGAGGCCGAGGAAGGGTTGCCAGGGGCACAGACGCAGGGGTGGCCGGGGAGGGAGCCCCACGCCACCCCTGTGCCCCATCACCCACCTGCAGATGGCCACATACACCTCCAGTATGGGGCTCTCGTGCTGCTCCAAGCTGGCGAGACCGCGGAACAGGTAGGGGGCCCCCAGGTTGAGGAGGCTGACCACCAGGGGCAGGGCGAGCAATCGTGCCTCCTGGCTGCCATTCCCAGGGTTCTGCAGGGATGGCAGGGGAGGGCTGGGTCGCGGAGGGCGCCAGGGGCTCTTATCCGTCATCCTAGCTACTCAAGAGGAAAGTCTGGCCGGGCGCTGGTGGCTCACGCCTGTAATCCTAGCTACTCAGGAGGCTGAGATCTGAGGATCGCGGTTCAAAGCCAGCCCGGGCAGGAGAGACCGTGAGACTCCTATCTCCAATAAACCACCAGAAAACCGGAAGTGGCTCTGTAGCTCAAGTGGTAGAGCGCTAGCCTTGAGCTGAAGAGCTGAGGGACAGCGCCCAGGCCCAGAGTTCAAGCCCCACGACCGACCAAAAGAAAAGAGGAAAGTCTGAGACTCTTATCTCCAATTAGCCAGCAAAACACTGGAAGTGGGGCTATGGCTCAAGTAGTACAGCACCACCTTTGGGCATAAAAGCTAAGGGGCAGTGCCCAGACCCTGAGTTCAAAACCCATGACTAGCAGACACATGCACACAAAAAAAAACTGGGTGCGCTGGTGGCTCACACCTGGAATCCTAGCCACTCAGGAGGCTGAGATCTGAAGATCGTGGTTCAAAGCCAGCCCAGGCAGGAAAGTCGGGAAGATAAATTTTATCACCAATTAACCATCAAAAAGCCCTAAGTGGACCTGTGGCTCAAGTGGTAGAGCACTAGCTTTTTTTCATCCAACACTGGGACTCAAACTGGCTAATGCTTTCTGCTCACTGGGAGGCGCCCTACCACCACAGAGCGCCAGCCTCGAGCAAGAAGCTCAGGTAGGGCCAGACCTTGCGCATGTATGTGCACACACACACATATGCGCACACACACATGCACACAGAGAAAAAAGAAAAGGAAGCTCAGGGGTAGGCCCAGACCCTGCATGCACACACGCACACACGCACAAAGATAAGGAAGCTCAAGGATAGGCCCAGACCTTGCGCACATGTGCACACACACACACACACACACACACACACACACACACACACGCACAGAAGAGGAAGCACCCTCAACCAAAACAGGTGACAGGGAGCCCGTGGGCAGGGAGCTGCTCAGCACCTGGCCGGAAAACACTCAGCTCTCCCAGGGCTCAGTTGAAACCACACAGGAAGTGCGCAGGGGACCAAAACAAAAAGACAAACCCAGGCAGGTGCCGAGACAGACTGGGGGCGTGGGAAGTCGGGCGAGTGGGGTGGCAGGTCAGGGCTCAAGGCCAGGCCTCCTCTCCACGCCCTGCCACACCTGGATGGTGACCTCTGAGAAGGTGAGCACAGCCACGGCACAGCCCAGCGAGGTCCCCAGACACAGCAGCCACGCCAGCCCCCGCGCCAGCCCCCGCCGCACGCTGCCACACGCGCTCCGCGGGCTGCTGCGCAGCTGCCACTCGGCCAGCAGCTCCTGTAAGGACAGAAGGGCCCTGTCACCCACAGCTGACACATGGGCACGGACAAGGGACCGGGCCGCTGCCAGCTGTGGGGAGCACAGGTATCCCGCGCAGGGCCCTGGGCGCCCAGCTTGCCCTCGACCTGGGCCCACAGGAGCCACCACGAGCCAGGCCACCGCAGTGGGAAAGCCCCGAAAGAACCGAGAACTCCCACGACCGTAGGCAAAGAACCTGAAGCTGGGTGATCCCCGCTACTTAGGAGGCTGAGATCAGAGGATCCTGGTTCAAAGCCAGAAAAGTTCGTGAGACTCTTATCTCCAATAAACCAACCAGAAGTGGTACTTGGTTCAAGTGGTAGAGCGCTAGTCTTGAGCACCAAGAGGCTGAGGGACAGAGTCCAGGCCCTGAGTTCAAGCCCCAGGACCAGCAAAAAAAAAACAAAAAGAACTTGACCTCTGTGCGTGTTTCTCTGGTAGCCTCGCCCCGAGCCCACGGTGGCCATGCCATGACTAGAGAGCACGGCGCAGCCCCAGCGAACAGAAGCAGCGTGCTCAGCTGGCCCCGGCCAGAGCTCACGGCCAGAACATACTCAGAGCACTGGTCCCAGGAGGAGCCCCCGGGGCCTAGGAGGGGCAGGGCGGGTCCTGTGAAGCTGGACGCCGCTGCTCACCTTCAGCTGGGTCCGAATGCCGTCCTGCTGGACACGGGAGGCCCACTTCTGGGTCACTTTGTAGTCCCAAGAACAGAAGACGGTGAGGGCATGGATGCCCTTGGTACTGCCCACTCGGTAGCTCTCCCCAAACGAACGGGACATGCTGGAGGGGGCAGAGGTGGGTAGGAGGTGAACAAGTACGCAAGGACACCCCTGCAGAGCCCCGCGCCCTGCAGCCCGGGGCCCTCCTGCTGCGGACACGGGCCACTCTCCATCAGCCCCGAACAATCACAGACACTGCCTCACTCACCACTGCGCCAACTCGAAGATAACAGAAGATGGGGCGCTCCCTTGGGGCCTCCGCGCGGCCTACCCAATGACCACAGAGCCCTCCCTGCTTCTGCCCGCTCCATCTCACCACTTTCCTACGAGACACCCTGTTCTCCGCTCCGCCCTCTCCCAGGGGAAGCAAGCTCCTCTGAGACAGGCACGAAGCTCCAGCACCTTTCTGTCCAGGACTGGTCACGGAATACCCATAGGGTAGACTGTTAAAAGGGCAAATGGGGGCTGGGAAGGTGGCTCAGTGGTAGAGCGCTGGCCTTGCATGCATGAGGCCCTGGTTTGATTCCTCAGCACCACATAAGCAGAAAAAGCCGGAAGTGGTGCTAGGGCTCAAGTGGTAGAGCGCTAGCCTTGAGCAGAAGAGCTTAGGGACCAGGCTCAGAGTTCACGACACAGACAAAAAAAAAAGAGAAATGAGTTTGGGGGGGTGGATGAATACAGATGAGGGGTAGAGAGGTGGAAATAGACGGGTGAAAAAATGGACAAATGGATGTGCAGGTAGACAGTGGTAGATGAATGGTAGACCCGTCAATGAAAAAAATGGATGGATGAACAGGTGGATGCGTACATAGCTAGGTGGTGGGTGGGAGTATCTGAGAGGTATGAACAGGTAGGTGAACTGATGGGTCTATGGACAGATGAACAGGTGATTGAATGGACAGACGGATGAGTCAGTAGGTAGAACAGTGGATGGATAGAGTAGATAAGTGGGTAAATGGATGAGAGAGGCACTGATGGATGGATGGAGGAATGGATGGGTGTGTGGATGGATGACAGATGGTTGAGTAGATAGGTATGTGGACAGATGAATGGATGGATAGATGGATGGATGGGTGTGTGGATGGATGGATGGATGGATGAGTACATGGATGGATGAATGGATGGGTGTGTGGATGGATGGATGGACAGGGTAATGGATGGATGGATGGGTGTGTAGATGGATGGGTGTGTGAACGGATGGATGGATGTGTGGATGGATGTGTAGATGGATGGGTGGATGGGTGGGTAGGTGGGTGGATGGGTGGATGGGTGGATGGATGGATGGATGGATAGATGGATGGGTGGATGGGTGGGTAGGTGTGTGGATGGACTGACAGACTGACGGACAGGTAATGGATGGCAGGATGGTGCTCACATGTCAGAGGTCAGCTACCTGTACACCAGCGTGATGCAGGTGATGAAGAAGGCTGCTCCGATAGTGAAGAGGTAGGCCAAGGGCATGCTGTAGGGCAGGCTGCCTGCCCGGGCGCTGCACTGGCTGCCATCCTGGGGTGGGGCACACGGCTGGTTCAGTGTGGTGTTACTGTAGTACCCGTAGTACATGACAGTGTGGGTGAAGCAGCCCTACGAGGAGGCCAGGCCAGTCAGGGCACCCCTTCCCCACCCAGGCCCCCCCCAGGGCTCCCGAGCATGGGACCATTAGAAGCAAAGGGTCAGCAGACATTTGGGAGGAACTGCCCAGGGCCACCTGGGGTTGCTGGGGGAAGGAGAAGGAAGGAGGGTGGAGCTGGGGCTCCGCACCCCGCCAGTGAGGAGCTCCAGCCCAGTGAAGGAAGCGGCGGGGCGGGGTGGGTCCGGCGGGGCCGGTGGGAAGGCGGCCTGCACGCCCACGATGAAGGCCAGCAGCGGCAGCAGCAGCAGGGCATTGAAGGCCAGGAGCGTCTTGAGGAAGAGGAAGTAGGAGAGCACGCTGGAGCCGAACTGGCCGCCAATCTGCTTCAAGGCGTAGTGCCACGGGCGCCCGTAGTGCAGGCCGGAGAGCAGCAGCAGCCCCAGGCTGTGCAGCCCCTGTGGGCAGTGAGAGCGTGACAGGCACAGTCGGCCGGGGCTGGAGCACAGGGCCCGGCCGAGGGCCCCTCACACAGAAGGGCAGCAGGGAGGAGGGCTGCCCGCCCCCGCCCCCCACCTCCTACCAGGATACAGGCGTATCTGAGCCGGCTGCAGCAGGACACCCCACGGCCCTGCCGGCCCCTCGGCTTCCCCCGAGAGGCCCAGCTCTCCTCTCTGGGGACAGAGACAGATCAGTGCCTGGACCGTCGGGACACGGCTCCATCACCCACCAGCAGGCTCGGGCCGCCCGAGGAAGTGGGCTGGGTGGGCACCTACCGCAGCCAGCGCTTCTCAGCCAGGCTCAGGGGCATCCCCCGGAGCGTGTGGTCCCGCTGGGCCACCGAGAGGCCCTGGAGCTCCTTCACCAGGAGGCTCCGCTTCTCTGCCAACAGGAAGGAGGCTGGTTGGGTCCAGGCTAGCTACAGCCACCGTCTACCCTGCACAGGCCTGCGCCTGTGTGCCGCCTCTGCCCGTACAGTGGCTGCCAGGTCTGGACTAGTGCCAGTCCACGCCGTCCTCCCTCACCCGACCCCCAGCCCCCCTCCCCCCTCCATCAGGTCCCCAGCCTCTTCCTGCGCCACCAAAACTCCAGCTCCCCACCATGGCCTAGCTGTACCCAGCTCGCAAGGATGCAGAGGAAGGCAGGGCCTGGCTGGGCCCATCATCTGAACCAGGGGCTGCCTCTCACCAGCAGGGTACCCCAGAACTCATCACAAAGAGCTCCAGGACCCCAACATTTACTCTAATCCCAACTTTCTCAGACTGACCAGTAGATAGAGAGCATTTGCTTGAGACATTCTCCTGGTCCCAGCGCCGGGTCGCGCTGCGCTGCGCTGCCCTGCCCTGCCCTGCGCCCACCAACGGGAGGCCCCCACACTGGCTGAGCGGCTCTGACAAGCCAGGAGTGGACTCGGGACGTGTCCCCTCTGCTCCAGGCACTTTCTCCATGAGGTCTCCCAGAATCCTCCAGGCTAGGCAGGCTCCCAGGCTCCCTCCCACGTTCTTCTCACTCTCCGGTGTCCCCTCCCTCTCACTCGCTCTCTCTAACAGTGCTGTTTACCTAGTGGTAGGGTGCTGATCACAGTTCTTGGTACAGGCATGTGCTTAGATTATAATCTACCTACTTGAGGCTTCCTACTGTAGCTGCCATGACAGGAGCATACTACTACACTCAGTTACTGGTTGAGAAGGGGGAGGAAGGTCTTGCTTTTTTTCCCCAGTCCTGAGGCTTGAACTCAGGGTCTGGGCACTGTCCCTGAGCCTCTTTTGTTCAAGGCTAGCATTCTACCACCAAAGCCACAAAGCCACTTCTAGCTTTTTCTGTGTATGTGGTACTGAGAAATCGAACCCAGGGCTTCATGCATGCTAGGTGAGCACTCTACCACTAAGCCACAGTCCCAGCCCCTTGCCTTTTTGCGGCTGACCTCAAACCTTGATCCTCTCTATCTCAGACTCCCAACTACAGGGACAAACCACCAGCCCCTAGCTTAGTATACATCCTTGCAGGGCCCCTTCCCCACTGTCCTTATCAGCTTTCCTGGCCTGCCTATCCATTTCTTTGGCTCCATGAATTTCATGGGCTTCTTAAGAGCTGCAACGAGCCTATCAACCGCCAGTCCACGCTTGGGCCTCCCCCAGGTCCGCTGCCCAGTACTGGAGGATGGGGTGGGGTGTACCAGACTTCCAAGTACCTGTCTGCCACCTCCTGGTCCCTAAGTATCCCTGTGGAGGGTGCGTCCCCAGCACCTCCCTGTGTGCTCACCGTCCTCCTCCAGGGACGCAGGGTCCAGCTCTAGGTCATAGAGGCGGAGGCTGGGGCGGGCAGCGCGCGTCACGTTCCCCAGCACCGGCCGGCTGCTCCGGTGCCGCAGTCTCACTGTGCGGTTGTAGTACTGGGAGATGATGGCTCCTCTGCTGCGGCCTAGGAAGGCAGGTGGCCATGGGGCCGGGGGCGGGACCGGAGGTGGGGGCAGGGCCAAGCCCCACTGGCCTCCCTTTCATGATGCTTCTCTGCTCCACACTTTCCCAGACCTCAGCCCTTACCAAAGCCCAAGAAAGCCCTCTACCGGAGGCCTTACGTCCACCACACTCTAAGTGCCTATTCTAGCCTCTGCGAGGCCTCGCAAAGTCATTTTTAGCTGCCAGGGAGGCTGGCCTGGGGTGGTGCGGGGCCTCTGGGCAGACTGAGTGAGCCAAGAGCTGGACAGGCCGGGCTCTACCACACGCAGGCGTCCTGCTCAAACCCCAGTGCCCGGTCAAGAAGAGCACAAGGGCAAAGCTCCCACTTACCAATGGTGCGGCTAGGCATGCTGGCCAGGACTCGGAGCGTGGCCGCGCTGTAGACGGGACCCCCCTTGGGCCCCGGGAGGGTCTGGTGGGCATGGCCTAAATAAGAAAGGCTCGATTACCCGACATCTCCCTCACCCACCCCACACTGCCCCAGGCCTACACACTGCGGGCCCGAAGCCTTGGGGCTGCCTGCACCCCGCCAGCATCCCAGGCCCGGCTCACCTGGGTCCCGCGGGGTCCTGGTGAGCGGCCGCAGCTCCAGCCCCTCCTCGGCTGCCCGCAGGCTCTGCTCTTGGATAAGCTGGTGGAAGGAGTCGTGCACTTCGCTCTCCTCATTGGGGCTGGGCTCCTGGCTGCAGGAGGAGCAGGCGTGGGAACCCAGGCTCCTGCGCTCACTGGGGCAGCGCAGGCCTTTCTAGAAGGCTAGGCCTGGGGGGGGGGGTGCGGCCGCGGGCATCTCCCAGCCCCCCAGCCCCAGGGCACTTACTCTTGCTCCCCTTCTCTCTCGGGAGCGTTGAGGACTAAAGGCAGCGGCTGGGCCATGTCTGCGGTCCACTCCCTGCAGGTCTGCAGTGCTAGAGCAGCTCAGGGCCTGGACGCGGCCTCTGGGGCCTCCTGCCGCCCATCTGACAAAACAGGCAACCATCCAACCCCGGGCTCCCTGGGGACTGCAGGGCCACCCACACGGCCCCACCCGGTCAGGAGTGGTCCAAAATAACCTTCCGCCAGCCCAGGCCAGGGGGGAGAGGGGGAAGAGGAGGAGGAGGAGGAGGAAGGGTGTGGGGCCTCAGTTCCCCATCTGCTTCCCGGATGTCAGCCCCTTTCAGGCCCCAGTTCCAGGGTGCAGCCCCCGACACCTCCCGGGGGCGGGGGTCAGGTCAACCCCAAGGCCTTCCCTGTGGCCCTTCGGTGACCCCCAAAGTGCTTCCTCCCGCAGGAAATCCTACCAGGCCACCACCCAGGCGGGGCAGCTCTGAGCAGCGGGAGCTGCGCCGAGAGCGGTCCGGGCTGCGGGCCGAGGTCCAGGGCAGCTGCGGGGGAGTGGCCGGCCCCACAAGCCCGCTTTGTCCGGGCTCCGCAGCCCAGCCTCCGGCCCGGGGGCGCGGGGCGCGGCGGGGGGGGGGGGCGCTCCAGCTCCGCGGGCTGTGCCGGGCAGGCCGCGGCCCTCGCCGGGCACCTCGGGGCCCAGGAGTGGCCCAGGGAGGAGGCTTCCAGCAGGGCCGGACAGCGGCTCCAGGCCGCAGACATGAAGCCCACGCCGCGCCCGCCCTAGTCCGGAGTAACCGATGCCTGGGCTGCAGGGGCTGGGCCCCATCCGGTGCCGGGCGCCGCAGAGCCTCCCGCGGAGGCCCACGGGCGGCCCCCACGTCGGGTCCGCACGGGGTCGGCCGCGCGCCGCCCGGGCGCCCCGTTCCTGAGCCCGGCGCGGTGGGAGCGGCCGGCGGGACTTCCAGGAACTCGCCCGGAAGAGCCGCCGCCAGCCTCGAACCGAGGGCGGAGGCGCCCCCACCCCCGCAGCGCGACCCCGGCCGGGACCCCGGGCCCCGACCCCGCCACTCACCTGGCGGCGCGCGGGGCGGGGCTGCTGCGCCTCACCTGGCCGCGCAAGGGCCGTCGGGAGCGGAGTGGCCGGTCCGGCGACCGGCGGCCCCGCGCTCGCGCGGCGGCGGGCCTGGCGGGTCACGTGACGGCTCCCGCCGCGGCGCGGCCCCGCCCGCCCCCTCCCGCCCTCCCTGCGCCCGGCGCGGGCGGCCGCGCCCCGCGCTCCGCCACCCTCTCCGCGGAGCTCCCCCAGTTTCGCGGGGCTCCGTGTCCCCACGGCTCCCAGGGGCCCTGCGCCCCCTCCCCAGGGCTGGCGGGGGTGCCAGCACGACGACGTCGCCGAGCTTCGCCCCGCGCGGGGCCACCCGCGCCCCCGCCGCCCCCGGGGCCCGGGCTCGGCTTACCGCGACGCGCGCTCCCCGCGGCCGGCGGCGGGGCGGCTCCCATGTCGGGGCGCTGCTCCCCCGCTCGCCTCCCCTCATCCCCGATAAGGAGCCGGGCTGGGCGCGCCCTCCTCCGGGACCGGGCTTGGGGGCGGGCCGGGGGCGCGAGGCCTTCCCTTCCCTGACACCCGCCAGCCCGGGCGGGGTGCCCGGCGGGTGGTGCGGCCCGCCCCGCGGTGCGGAGCACAGATAAGGGGCCCCCCGCCGGGTCAGGGTCGGGGCGCGGGCCCGGGGCGGGGGTGGGGGTGTGGCGCGGGGCGGAGCCACGGCCCCGCGCGCCCGGAGGCCGCCGTCGAGGGTCCCGGCACCGACGCCGCGGCACCTGCGCCCCTGCGCCCCGCCGGCCTCCGCAGGAAGTGGCTGCTGGGCCTGGGCGGGGGGCAGGAAACCGCGGGGACGGAGGGAGCGGGCGGCGCCCAGAGCCGCGGGCCCGGGGCCCCCGCCACGTGACGCGCTCGCGGCCCCCTTGGCGAGGCGGGGGCCCCGCTCGGGCCCGGGTCTCCAGGTGAGCTGCACGCGTGTGGAGGGAGGAGGGGTGACAGGCCTGGGGGCGCCCGGGGTCCCCTCCTCTTCCCACGGCGAGCCAGGACCGCAGGGAGGAACGCGGAAGGCGTCCCCGCATCTCGAGGCAGGGCGTCCCTGGGGGACCCGTGGGCCCTGGCTCTGCCAAGGCCTTGCACCCCGCTTGGCGGATGGGCGGGGGGCTGAGCGCGGCGGGGTCCCTCGGCTCTGGGCGTGCCGGGGCCAGGACCTTGAGTGCCCGCCGGTGTCCACAGCCTCCTGCGAGCCGGCGCCACGCGCACCGCCAGCCCTGCCGGAGCCCCGGATGTGGCGGCCGGGGTCCGTGCGATCCGAGGGGACCCCCGGGGGCCCGGGCCCCGGGCGGCCGGCCGACGAGCTGTGGGCGCAGGAGCTGGAGCGGCTGTGCGCGTCCCGGGCGCCCCTGAGGACCCTGCCCTACGCCATGGAGGACCGGCGCCTGGTGCGGTGGGTGCCCGCGGGGGCGGGCCGGGGGAACCGCCGGGGCGCCCTGGGCCTGGCCCGGGTGGGCAGGGCGGGGGACTGACGGACGTCCTGGTCTCCACCGGCCCCAGGAAGCTGCGGGAGCCGGAGGGCGCGAGGACCTCGCGCTGGTGGAGGTGGCAGCGCCGGCGGCGGGCGGCTGGACGACGCCTGGCGGAGGCGGCGCGGCGGCTGTCCGGGGGCTTCGGACTCTGGGACGGGGCGCTCTACGAGATCGGGGGTAGGAGCCCGCGCCCGCCTCCCCGGTGTGCAGACCTGGAGGGGCGGGCAGGGCGCCGGCTCTCTCCCGCCCCGTCAGGTGCGAGCCCGAGTGGCGACAGCACCCCCTGGTGTCGGTGCGCAGTACCACGAGGAGCCCTTCCAGGCGGCGCGGCGCCCCGCCCTCCTCCCCTCCGCCACGCCCCCTTCTCAGCGCCCCGCCCTTCTCCCTGCCCTTCTCGCCGCCCCGCCCCTCTCCTCGCCGCCCCGCCCTCCGCCCCGCCCCGCCCTCCGCCCCGCCCCTCTCCTTGACGCCCCGCCCCTCTCCCCACCGCCCCTCTCCCCACCTCCCGGCTCTTCTCCCCCGCAGGTCTCTTTGGCACCGGCATCCAGTCCTACTTCACTTTCCTTCGCTTCCTCCTGCTGCTCAACCTGCTGACCCTGCTGCTCACCGCCAGCTTCGTGCTGCTGCCCCTGGCCTGGCTCCACCCCCCGGGCCCGGGCCCGGCCCTGAACTTGAGTAAGTTGGGGTCTTCTGCACACAACCTTCCTGACATCCGGGGAGATGGAGGGTGGGTGGGGCTGGGAAGGTGGCTCAGTGGCAGAGTGCTTGCCTAGCACGCTTGAAGCCCTGAGTTCCATTCCTCAGCACCACAGAAAAATCCAGAAGTGGCGCTGTGGCTCAAGAGGTAGAGCGCTAGCTTTGAGCAAAAGAAGCTCAGGGGCAGCGCTCAGGCCCTGAGTTCAAGCTCCAGGACTGAGAAAAAGAAAAAAGGGGGGGGGGAGGAGAGCCAAGTGTCCCCCGTGTCCCGGGACCCAGGTCTGTTGGTCCCCTCTCCCTCAGCAGCCGGCCAGTGCCCGGACAGCCAGCAGCCCCAGAGTGGCATTCCGAAGTTCCACAATCAGCTTTGGAATATTTTAACTGGCAGGGTAAGTGAGGCTGTCCTGAGGGTTCATGAGGCCTGGGGACTCCAGTCTAAGGAGGGACCCCCCCACAGGGCATTTTGGCTTCTAGTGGGTGGTCTTATTCAGCCAGCCAATGGGATCGGAGAGAGGCAGAGGCCCCCTTGAAGGCTTGGGTCTTCAGAGCCCAGCAGGGCTGGGGGTACAAAGAACAAAGGGGGAAGAGTCCAGGCCCCAGTACTAAGTACCCCCTAATTCCTGAAAGCCATGGAGAGAGCGTTTATGGATTCAAGCTGTGTGACCATAGCTAGGCACCAGTGGCTCACACCTGTAATCCTAGCTACTCAGGAGGCTGAGATCTGAGGATCATGGTTCAAAGCCAGCCTAGGCAGGAAAGTCCCTGAGACTTTTATCTCCAACAAACCACTAGAAAACCAGAAGTGGAGCTGTGGCTCAATCGGTAGAGCACTCGCCTTTTATCTCCAACAAACCACTAGAAAACCAGAAGTGGAGCTGTGGCTCAATCGGTAGAGCACTCGCCTTTAGCTGAGGAGTGCAGGGACAGCGCCCAGGCCCAGAGTACAAGCTCCACAACAAACAAGAGACAAAAAAAAGCTATGTGACCTTGAGCAAGTTGTCTGGCCTCTCTGAGCCTCTGTAAGACATTCTCAGGCCAGCAGTTCTCACACCGTTTGAGACCCTGAGGTGGGGAAATCCAGAGTTCCAGGCCAGCCTCAGCTACCTAGAGAAACCTCAGCAACCAGTCAAGGCTTCTGCTGCTGGGAGCGGAAGCCTGCAACCCCAGCGACTCAGGCGGCTGAGCTCTGAAAGTTAAGGTGTGAAGCCAGCCAGAGAAAAAAGGCCATAAGTTATTATCTCCAGTTCACCACCAAAGAGTCAGGAAGAGAGCTGTGGCTCAAGTGGTAGAACCTTGAACAAAGAAGCCCAGTGTAAAGCCCTGAGTTCATCCCCAACACACACACACAGAGGGGGTGCTTCTCACCTAACTAGGCCCGACACACACTCATGCTCAGTAGTTTTCATTGCTGTCCCCAGGCCTTCAACAACACCTATCTCTTCTATGGTGCCTACCGGGCGGGGCCTGAGAGCAGCTCTGGGTACAGCCTCCGCCTGGCCTACCTGCTCAGCCCCCTGGCCTGCCTGCTCCTGTGCTTCTGCAGGACTCTGCATCGGTAAGCCCAGGCGGGTGGCCTCCCTGGGCCCCGTCCCCAGTCACCCCTCCCAGGCCCCAGCCCCCAGCCCCACTCACAGAGCCGAGGCTGGAGGGGCCCCACAGCAGCCTCTGTTGCCTTGTCCCAGGATGGTGAAGGGGCTGCCTCAGAGGCTGCTCCTGGGCCAGGACTACAAGGCGCCGCTGAGCGCCAAGCTCTTCTCCTCCTGGGACTTCTGCATCCGGGTGCGAGAGGCTGCCATCATCAAGACACATGAGATCAGCAATGAGCTCAAGGTAGGGCCAGGGTGGCGGTGACGGCGTGTGGCAGTGAGAGACCGCGTGTGAGGGCATGTGGCAGCGTGAGACCACGTGTGAGGGCGTGTGACAGGGAGACTGCGTGTGAGGGCGTGTGGCAGCGTGAGACCACGTGTGAGGGCGTGTGACAGTGTGAGACCGCGTGTGAGGGCATGTGACAGTGTGAGACCGCGTGTGAGGGCATGTGGCAGCGTGAGACCACGTGTGAGGGCGTGTGACAGGGAGACTGCGTGTGAGGGCGTGTGGCAGCGTGAGACCACGTGTGAGGGCGTGTGACAGTGTGAGACCGCGTGTGAGGGCATGTGACAGTGTGAGACCACGTGTGAGGGCGTGTGACTGTGAGACTGTGTGTGAGGGCGTGTGACAGTGTGAGACCGCGTGTGAGGGCGTGTGACAGTGTGAGACTGCGTGTGAGGGCGTGTGACAGTGTGAGACCGCGTGTGAGGGCGT